GGGGTGAGCCCCCTCCTTAGCTCCCAGCCCAGAACAGGGCCTGAGAGACAGAGGCAGAACCCCCCTGAGATAGGGACACCACCCCACTCCTCCCAGTATCCCTCACCCAACCCTCGCACAGGAATAAAACAACCATCCTTCATTACCCCAGTTATCCCAGTTATCTCCCAGTGCTGGCACTGGGGATGGAGAGCGGCACCGGACGGTACCGGGATAAAGATGCTGTTGACACCCAACCCCTCAGAGGAGATTTTTCCAGCAGCTACAGCCAGGACGAGGTCTCAGATGTGGTTTCCATCCCTGGTGGGTCCAAGCCGTGGGCCAGCAGTGCTCGATGTCCCACTGTTGTCCCCACTCGGCTCTGCCCCACACTCACAAGCCCCGGTGCGCAGCCCTCCCAGTGCCGCACACGGTTCCTGCCCCGTTGCAACACGTCCCTTCCAGTCACTTGCGTCACGTCGCTGCCAGCACAAAGAGCGGAGGCAGCCACCCGCCCACGGCCCGACCTGGCATCCACCATCTCCTCATCCCCTCCCCGGGCTCTTGGCTAACCCAGACGTCGGGCAGCCACGGCATTGTCACCAGCTGGGGCTCTGTCATTGTTGTCAGTGTTGGAAAATAGGACAGAAACACTCTGGAGTGGCCTTGGGGACCTCTCTGCTCCTTGTCCACCCCTGGTCCATGTGTCATCACCCTGCTCAGGATGGGGATGGGAAAGGGACACAAAGTTCCTCCCAGTGCCCAAACCTGCCCTGGCAATTTGAAAGGGGACAGTTGGATTTCCAGCCCATGTGGGTGGAGGGACATGAAGAAACGCAGGGATGTCCCCATCCCCCAGTGGGATTTCTCCCATCCAGTGGGTTAAACCCTACCAGACTGGGATATCTGGTCCTTTTCTGAGTGTCCCCAACTGAGGACACTTTTGGCTGGTGGAGAAGAGCCAAGATCAGCTCCAGCAATGCCACATTGGCAACACTGCTCCTCTTCTGGGGCGCAGAGAACAGTGGGGTCACCATCCAGTTTGGCTGTGGAGAAAAGGGCAGAACAGCCCCCAAACCCC